AACATAACAAAACTTGGGCCTCGGAAAAAACAGAAAGAGAGAAATCAGCCCATAAACTCCGGAAATTCAGACTAGGCCCGGCAAGATTAAAAGCCAAAAATCAAATCTAGGGGCCCATGATTTTTACAAAATGATAAATCAATCACTGAAGCTAGTCAAAAAGAAAAGCAAAAAAATCCTTTTGGAAAGCCTATTTTCAGGAATCACGTGGCTACCTGACTTAGAAGTCAACAATTCCAACTATCATAGAAGAAGTGATTGGGAATTAAATGAAAGCATAGAATTAAGCAAAAAGACTTCTCTAAATCTCTACCATCAGAAGATCGAATCCCTTTATATATATATATATATATATAGAAATAATATTTCTACTCTAGAGAAGGCACCATCTTTTCAAGAGATAAGCAGGCTATGTTCTCAAAAAGAGATAGGCAGGAAGACAGGGAGTTGTTCAAAATAAAAGAAATCAAACTAACCATCACGGTTTGAGCTCTCACGAGGGGCAGCTGGAATTAAAGAAAGGGTCAGGTTCTCTTTCAAAAATACAGGGATTGACTACTGTAGGAACTGATTGTTGAGAGCTTATATGCCAGAATTGATAAAACCCCTCTTTCTTTGCATTTAAAAAAATGAAAGATCTTTTGAAAAAAATTTCCGCCCATTATTAAAAGAAAGAAACCCTACTCCTAAGCATTGCTTATAAATATAAAAGGGAGTGAACAGGGTGAAGGGACAAAAAAATCATCAATCAATGAAACAATCAAAAATTAACCAAAGGCAAAAACTCAAAATGATCACTTGATCACTGAGAACCTTCAAAGCAAATGGGGAACTTTTCCCTGAGAGCTACCTGATTTATCTCCATGGCGTGGTGCGGGTTCTGGCTAGAGCTTCCAATATTCATAAACTTGAGAAGAATTCAATGAGAAAATGTATACTAAGAAGTCCCACTGGGCGTGCCAAATTGTTTGCCCGTTCTTGGTTTACTCCTATGATGGAAGGGCAAAGTTCCCCACTGCCTTGAGAACCATAAACTGGTCAACAAGTCAGCTTTCTTTGGTGTGCGAGCGTGCCACTGCTAGCAAAATTTCTAGCAGACTTGGTTTGGAATGGATAACTTGCGTCCCAAGTTACTGATTTCTGCAAACAAACGATTGTGAATTTGGGTGAGGAATATCTCCCAAGTAAGTTCTTTTCCTGCCTCAGACTGGTGAGGACTTTAACAATTTATCTCAGTATAAGGAGGTTGCCTTGGCCAGAATGGTTTGATGGGATTTAAATTGTTCTTTAGGCGGAACTGCCTTTTACAAAAAGAAAAAAAAAAAAATATAACAGTGAATGCTTATACTAGAAGAAGATGAAAGGGACAGCCGGGGCTTTATTTCTGTCGAGATAGAAGGTTCTGGTCTGGACTAGACTGGAGATACCCGGGCTGGACTGGGACGCTTGGGCTGGACTGGACCGTTGACAACCTTGGCTGCTAGGCTTCAACTTGTAAATCGATACCAA